GATTACCTGTTCTGTTCACTCCCTGTAGGGCATCTGGCATTGGTCATTGTCAGAAGACAGGATACTGGTCTAGATGGACCTTTGGTCTGACCCAAGGTAGCCATTCTTATGTTTTTATGACTCCTCACTTTTTGCAGATACAGACAAACACGGCTCCCCCTCCATTATTTACTCTCAAGATTCTCAAGAAATTATTTTTTATTTTTGAACAACTAAATATAAACAAGAAGTTTTCCAACTCGAGAGAGGGGTTCCACTGGGTTATCAAAATCAAAAAGGACACTATTTAACTCTGTTTTTTTAATGGCTTCAGATTTTTATCTGTCCATCACAGTAGGCCTAATCCTGTATATCTTGTTCAGCCCTGACTATCATTGATATCAGAGGGGGCTGAATTACATAAGGAAGGCAGGATTGTTACCCTTTTGAACAGTAAACTCTCACTTGGGAAATAAGATGCAGAACTGTAATGCTCCTAATTCATCTAGTCTGAGGCCAAGAGAGGTGTGTTCCAATGATGAGGAGACTATCAAGTTAAGGGATAGCAGATATTTTAGAAGCCAGAAGGAGCTCTGGGCTTGTTTGTCATAGAAATAAGATCCTTTATGAATTAAGCAACCATGTTTGAAAATAATAAATGAACCTTAAAAGCTATTGCTCTTGAACGGACAGTTCTAAAAGGCAATAGGAAAGGATTTCTTTTCAGAAGGGCTTTCCGGACACAATGCTGCATTTCAAGGCCAGACCGTGACAAACTGCATTTTAAAAAAAATTCTAGAGGGGACAAAACCATTTTTTGACAGAACTTAATATCCATACCTATCTTTTGTATCATTAGTTATACTGGAAATAAAAGGGTACAGGCTACAGAGTCGGATAGCGTTGCAAAACATGCTATACCCTGTGATTTTTCTGAGGAGGGTCAGTAATTTCATAGCCACAGCTTCTTATGAGATCACAAGAATAATATAGTATATACATACTATATAGTAATATAGTATATATATAATATATAGTAATATATATAGTAATATAATAGAATAGAATAGAAGAACATTGAAGTAGGGGTGCTGCAATGCTTACCCTCTGTTCCAGTCCTTGAAATGCTTCCTGTGGCTTCAACCACATGTACAGTCAGGACTGCAGTGCTACCATACAGGGTTTATATTAGGCCTCTTTATGGTTGTTTCCATGCGCCCCATTTTAGCTGACCAAACAGACTGGAATTTGTATGTATGATTATGATTTTTTAAAGTGACGAGGTGTTGCCTTTTGCTCTTTACACAATACATGATGTGGAAGAACCACCTGGTCACAGTGGTGCCCCAATAACTGTGTTTACTAAACACATGTACAATACAAGGCCTGGCTCCATATATACAGTGCTGCTCTGGCTGGGTTCTGGTGGTTTCAGAAACATGGAAAACTGAGGGCCACTAGAAGACTCTCAAACTACTTAATGGGATACAACCCAATTCCTGTGCTCTGCATTAGGCATTTTCAGTGCTTGGGTTGGGTTTTTGGGGGGTGTTTTTTTTTCAGTGCCCCCATTTGAAACAACTCTTGATTTTCAGAAAGCATATTGAGAGTGAGACTCTGTTAAGGTGTCTCGTATTGGGCACACAAACATCAAAGCCCCTAAAATCACAAGACACTTCCCAATTTTGTTCCTTGTCTGTAGTAAACCCAATATTGGGTGGCATACAGGGAGCAATTACAGGGAAAAACAAAGATGACCAAAAACTTGATGTGTTTGCTTCTCTCCCTCTCTTACCTCAATACTACAGGACAAGGGTGACTAATAAATCTGTTTCTTTCTAAGGTGCCATAGGACTCCTCATTGTTTTTGCAGATACAGATTAACACGGCTACCCCCTCTGAGACTTGTTACTGGAGCGAAAAGTCTGCTGCAGAGCAGATTGCACCAGTAAAAGCAGCTGTTATCTCCCTTCCACTTTCCAGCCTGGTCTACGCTAGAGAGGAAGGTCGCCTTAAGATACAAAACTCCAGCTATGTTAATTAGGTAGCTGGAGTCACCATAGCTTAAATCGCATTTCCACCCAGTCCACACAGCAGGGGCTCAACAGGAGCAAATACTCCCATCAGCTTCTCTTACTACTCATAAGGAGCAGGAGTACCGGCACTGCCGGGGGCACCTTCTGAGTTTGATTTAGCGGGTCTATACTAGACCCGCTAAATCAAAGCCTGGAAGATTGACTGCAGTAGCGTCAAGCTTCTGCATAGTGTGCACATGGCCTCAGTTGGGAGGTGAGGTGGTCATGGCAAGGACTGTGTTTTGCTGGTTCATTTCATCCCCTCAGAAATGTCCCACAGCAGGTTTGGAATTTATACCTTCCTGGTGGAAACACCATCTCTATTTGTGCAGGATTGTTCTCAGGGCAAGGTGCCATGCTCATGAGAGGAGGTGTAATTACACTAGCCTTCACTATCTTTGGGATATATGTATAACATTTACAAAGTCATACTTTATTTTGCCCTTTCAGATGTCACTAGGCTGTGCCTTTGCTGATGCCATCCTTGTTTCTATAGTAACTAACACTTCAAAGAGGAAAGCACACTGCATGACTAAAAAAGGCAAGATATAAACGAGAGGTATAAATGCAACATGCAATTGTGTTGGATGCTAAAGATTCATCGCAAATTGTTTGCAATGACTAAACTAAGTCATGACTGACATGGCCATCCCAAATTTAAAGGAAGTCAGGCAACTGTATGTTTTGGATCAATGAATTTAAAGTCTGGCTGACATAAATCCTATCTGGTACTGAATTTGAAGTGGAAATTATAAAAGCCACATAAGACATAATGTCAGTTTCTGTATTCTAGCTATTGAACTTCATGCATTCTGAATATACTATTGGCTAGATCTCATTATAAAGGGGTAACTACTGTAGTTATTTATAGGGTTTGTTTACAGATCAACCATTAGCCTGTAACTCTAATGCCTGTGCCTACTTTGGAAAAAATCCCATTGTCATCCTAGAGTGGAATAAACGAGAGAGCACACATCTTTGATGCATTATGTAGTCTGTGAGGTATTTTTGCTTGACAGTTATAATCTCCATGCACTGCCTGAATGCCAGCAATGCTGCCATAGCTGTTAGCTCATATGTACGCTGCCATTGATACAACTGTTCACTTTTGTTCTTGAAGTATTACACGGCCACATGTTTTTTAAAGTGGCATTTTCTGCACATGTGTCTTTGAGACTCTGGGTGTTTATAATGTTTCATAATCTCCAAGGTTACGCAATGTTGCATTCTATTCCATGGCCCTGATTCTGATCTCATGTACATTAGTCTAAATTAGGAATGATTTAATGATCAGTCAAGAATTGATCCATTGACTTCAGTGGAGTTACACAATAAAACTGGCGTGAAGTGAGAGTCTGGCCTATGAGATGTAAGATTATTTTTATAGATCAACAAATTTGTTGCAAATTTCTATACAGACAGACAATGGGTAATCACTTAGACTGGTGTAAAAAAGTTAGATGGCTATACAAGCCATATGGGATCAGAACCAGCTCCAAAGTGTTAGGGCCAGAGCTTCAGCTGGTGTAAAATAGCATGGCTCTACTTGTGAAGCTACACTAAATTTGTTTGAAATGCTGCACTGAGTAGTTCAAATGTTACAGTGAATTTACTTTGCTTTACTACCCTCATAATTCAGCTGCAGGCAGAAACTCACTCAAGTCCTACTTGGGCACCTGTTGATCTTCATTATACAGTCACATCTTCATCTGCATTCTCTAGCGAGCAAAAGTATTCCACTGAAAGTCACCTGAGCTGCCAGTTGATTAAGCATCTTACCCAGCTGAGTACTGTCATTGTTGACCATGGGAGAATCTAACACTATCATTCATCCTAACATGCAGCACAATGGCTTTTCCCCCACTTCTCTCACAATCCTCTTCATCCTGACCTCTGTATCTTGGATCCTTGCCTCTGGTAGATGGCACACACTTCTTTTCTCTGGATCTCATCTGGGGACAGGCCTGATGATTCTTTTCTGTATGGAGTCCGTGGTCATGTAGACCTGTCTCTTCCTGGTGTCGGTACCTCTCTCTCTCTTGCAATCTCTGCTTCATTTTCCTTAAGCTATAGTCCCTGGCTACCTCCAAAAGAGAGATTGTTGCAGTCAAGCATACATAAGTGGCAGTTATATGCCTGCAGTTAAACAGAAGCATGAGACATAATCCTTTGCATTTCTCTGAAATACAGAGAAATGCCCCTTCAACTTAGTCACAAAACAAGACCACACATATTCCTGACTCACTTGGTTTCCTACCATACTTATCTCTTTTTCCATCAAAATGTCTCCTCCATCCATTTGTAAAAAGCCCTTCTTTTCCAGTTCAGTTTTTCCCTTGCCCATTTTTTCTTGATCAATTTGTTAGAATTTTTCAAGGTCTACGCATCTGTTGCATGGCATTAGATGATTATACATGAAATGCTGCTGGTTAGGAAGCATGACTCTTAATGCTAGAAGGCTGTGCCTCTGCATGTGTTAGCCAATGGACTTCAAGAAACGGAATCATGAGGAACAAGATGCTGAAAACTAAATAGGGATTCTGTCCACCTCTTCCTTGTCTCTTCACTGTCAGAATGTTCCACAATGATCTGTGTAGAAAGGAGCATGAGTGCAAATGACAGGAGGAAAAGGGGAGAGGCTTTTTATCTAGTGTGGAACCAGTTCTCTGCTCTCAGATACACATTCTGCTGACTTCATCTGAATTCGTAAGGCATGGTTTAGCCCACACAGATGAAATCTATGGTTTAATTCAGATGTGGCCTGATCTGCCTATTAGCACTACACATACTCACTTGGTTAGACTGCCCCATAAGTACAATTTTAGGATAGGCCCCAGGATCCCTGAGATTACTAAGGCAAAATAATTATCTGAAACCAGTGTCGATTTGCCTTTGTTGTCGGGAAAATATTAATAACCAGTCTCCTGTTTAGTTCCTTTCCTTTTTATTCACTTCCTTCCAGACCTTTTCCATAAATCATTGTGCAGAGACACTCCTGCAGCTATTAATGATCAAATTTGTTCCTCAGGTGACTGAATTACAATCGCTGCTTATAGGCTGTGACCTTTAATTACATATTCAGCATCTTCGAGGTCAGAAAACATTACATGGCAAAACTGTGGTGACACATCCTGGAGAGATTTTTCGTAAGTGCGAATGCTACCTTCCCCACTCAAACACACATGTGTAGGCATCTGTATCTTTCCCTCAGTAGGGCAGCCACAGCCACAAACCTCTCTTGGCTATAATGCTATAGTCACTTGGCTCTTGATTTACCTTTGTTCACATTTACCACATAGCAGCCGACAGTTGTTTGTTTTTGTTCCAAATAGTGATGGACACACCATAGTAGCCACTCTGACTGTGAGGTACAAGCCTCAATGTATGGATCTGAGCAATGGCTGTTAGCTAGAATAAAAATCATTTTGTCATCTGAAAAGAGAAAAGGCAGATGAACTGGCTAGTTTCAATGAATTATCCTAAGTGATGGGCACAGGGAAATGGAAAATGTGTCCAGTCTCAGACAAGCTTAATTATTTGGTTACAAGAACAGGAACATAACTAAAGCTGATTGAAAAGTGCAAAAGGCTGGGGCCTGAGTCTCTTCTCACTTACTTAGCTCAGCTTTATCCTCTGTGCGACTCCATTAACTGGAGTCATAATTGGAAGTGAGTTTCAGGCTCTGTATTTAGGAACATTGATTTGAATTCTAAATTACTGGTCCTTTGACACAGAATTGTATCCTTTCATTGTTCATTATTGGCTAACATTTGGGTGAGGGTTCTGGTTTGCATGAGTATTTGGGGAACAGCTGTTCTTAGTATTCCACCCTAAAAAGGGTTGTATACACAAACAAGAATGTTCCTTATGCGTGAATTATTTTACTCCTGTTCAAAAGTTTTTAGTCATCGCTCAGTTCAAAACCTGTTCTATGTGATTTAGGATGGTAAGATTTGGGTGATTCATATTTGGACATCAATAGTCATATAGCCCAATTCACATTATTATAATCAACCTTGTGAGGTTTTTAAGAAAATAGAAATTGTGTCATTAGGGGCGGGACTGGCAAGTATTGGATATAAAATATTAGATATCTGAACCCTTGCCACTTAATAGGTATGTTATATATCCTGGGTATTTCCTCTAAGCCCTTGTTAGAGTAACAGCCATACAGTGTTGTTAGCAGTGACTTGGAAAGTGGCTGAGACCTAGTGAGTTAGTACTAATTTATTAACATACATGATTTGATGTGAAACAAAGCTGGGACCTGAACAAACTGGTGCAGGTGAGGTGGAAAGAGCCAGTAGAAGGAGCCAATATAGGGAGAAGGGTTGGCTGGTACATTTCTTGCAGAAGTGTGATTGGAGAAGGGATGACTTTGCATGTGGGAAGTAATTTATTTGAATGAACTGGAAACCTTGAAAGCAAAGATGGAAAAAATGCTTACAACTAAAGTAAAAGAGAAAAGCAGAGAAATACCAAATTCTGATAAAACATGCGATGCTTGTGAACTTGACATTAACATCTGCTGAGCTGAGAGGACAGAAATACAGGTGGTAATCAAGAAGCTTAAAAAGAACAAGTGGCAGGAGCTGATCAACTCACAGCAGAAATACTAAATAGCACTAGATACCCTCACCCTAATGAAAAGCGGTCAGAGCTGCTCAATGAGGTCTGGGGGAAATAGACTCTCCTGACCAATGGAAACATGGAATCATTGTCAGAATTCCCCCAAAGGGTGATATCACTAACAAATGGAGAGGAGTGATTTTATTTTCCATTGTA